ACCTTATCCATACAAATAAGACACAAATGGATGTTAAGTTTACCATAAGAAAAATAGTTAAATTGCCCAAATTGTTAAATTCAGGGTTTATTTGTTTCAATAAAAGTTTAAGGGTTTAATCAAGAATCTGGAGCAAGTTTTGGGGCTTAAGGTTTTGCCAAAAATTTATTAGTTATGAAGACTTAAGACAAAACTATACCATAAACCAAATTAACTTTGAATTAGTTAATCCAAGTTTAAGCTTTAAAGAACTTCAAAAGTGTATTGATAATCAAGCACACTTAGAAAAGTTTTTTTTTTTTTCCTTTTAATGGAGAGAGTGTGATATGAAGTATATTGATCTAGAAGTAATCATTGAGAATGTCAACACCATTTTACAGTGATCATATACTTCTTTAATTTTTTGAACATCATGAAACTTACAGTGACTATACTAGATGTGGAATTATTGCAAGTCATTATCAAATAATTATATGCTTTAGAATTATTATAGCTAACAGGTGAGAAAAAATCTTTACCTTGAGTTATGGTCACCCTGCAGGATTTCCAGGCTAAGCTGACCATGATTCGGAAAAACAGGGCTTTTTTTTTTTTTTAACATTGGGAAATTAAGGGAATGAGGGGAATTCTTCAAGTCGTTGGTGAAAGTAAAACTTTCAATCAATGAAATCCAAACACTTAAACTTGGGGACAAACTATGTATTAGGCCTAATGGCTTGATTCGAAAAAATAGGACTAGCTCATGCAATTTCTTACTAATCGAGGTGGCCATACGAGTATCAAACTTATTTTACTGAAAATTACAAGTACATAAATAAATTAGCATATGTTCAATCAGTCTAGAGACCTAGAGTTGTTGATTTTTTTGAATCAAAATATTTAAATTAGTCTATTAGATGAAATTTTATTTTATTTTGTATATTAAGAATTAACTGTCTGATGTTATAAATGTTTAAATTTTTAATCTTAACCAAAACTTTGACCTTCTCTTGGGCCAATTGCTTTAGTAGATTAATGTTTGAAATTGGTTTTTCTTAAAACTTTTTTTAAATAAGTTTACAAATAATCCTTAACATTTTATGGGGAAAGGGAAAAAGTTATTTCAAAGATTCAAACATCAAAACTAAGAGTGTTCTCACTTAAATGATAAGTGACAAATCATTTGATCCGAACATATGAAATGATTTTTCTCAAAACTTAAAAGGTTGAAATGAATAGATTTACATTCTTCAAAGATTAATTTTTTATGCAGTTCAATAATAATAATAACAATAAAAGATTAATTCTTCATAGGATCAAATTAAATTAACAATCAAACAATACAAAATAGTTGTTCAAGGACCACAACTCCCAACAAAGGGGGAAAAAATTATAAATTTGGAGTAGAGTGACCCTTATTTTTGGCGAAAAAAGTAAACATTTTTATTCTTAAATCCTTTTAATTATTTTTATGACAATATAAGATGGCTCTAAGGTGATCAAATGCAACAGATTCTTTTTCGGTCACACTCATACACTATGGATTAACACAAGAACGTAGGGAAACTCGAGGGATAACTTTGATGCTCCCTTGTTGTGTTAGATAAAATAATGAGTACAAGCATGCTGCTAAACCTTTGAGAAAAAAAAAAAAAAATCCAAGTTGTCCCTTCCTTTGTCCTAGATACAAAACATTGACACGATTTCTAGGTTTGGAGCGCTTACAAAGTTCATTTTCATTGACAACTAGAGTTTTTACTTTTGTAAAAACCATGACTAGGATCAAGGTGCCTCAAAAGCACCTTGATATTTAATGAAAGGAAAAATTCCATACATTCGCTCTTGAACTTTTCCACTATTGGAACTTGGGCCCTGATAGTCTTTTTAGCGGCAATCAAGTTAGGTCAATTTATTGACTAGAGAATTAGACCCAAAGTGGACTAGAGAACCAAATCGTTGTTCCACTTAGAGGTTCACTCTCAATTACATTTTTCCTTTTAATAAAATGATCCTGTAGTATAGTATGTGTTTACTTTTTTAATATTATTTGTTAAAAAAGTTATAAACAACAAATAACATTAGAAGGAAAAAAAAATCTAGTTATGGACATTAATCCTATGAGTCTGTGACAATTTCAAGTACTAAACCCAAGTGTTGATCCCTCCTTAAAAATAGTGTTTTACTTATTTATCCCTCTTTAAAAATAGTGTTCTCTACACCCAACTATGAAGATGTTTGAGGGATTTGTTAAGACTTTCACCTTTAATTAAGTTTTCTCTACCATTATTAGACTTTGTTTGGTTCAACTATTAGTTAATAGCTATTACTAATTTAAAATTAATTTATATGCTGATGTTTCTAAACATTTTAATTAGTTTTTTAAAGAAAAAATTTATAAACTAATAAAAACAATTAAATCAAATACATTTTAAATCATCATAATAGATATTCAATATTTCTATTAAAAAAATAAAAACTAACAGAGATAGTTGTTAAAACCATGCAAAATTATTTCCCCCCCAAATCCATCTATCTGTCAACTCTTTAACATACATGCCCTCGCCAGGGCGAAGGGGCAATATGCTTGCTTTTGTGTGGTTAACGGGCAAAGCAAACACATTTCAAACCACAGGGGCCGAATGCAATTTACTCTTTTAATTTATATGGAAGGGAAGATTTTTCCTTTTTGGGGGCCCTGGGGAAAGAGAATTCCAATATTTGGGCTTTGCACCCAATGGGCTTCTGAAGGCTGAAGCCTTTGCGGGTCCATGAAGAAGAAAAAGATAAGGCAGCCTTCAGCTGAGCTTCCACGTCTTGCAACACAATGGTGGTTGCCGGAGCGGCGCCAGAAGCCATTGCCGGCATACGTTTTCTGCCCCTCCTGGGGGGATTAGCAGCTATCAATTTCTCATTTCTGTCAACGTCGAACATGGGATTCTGTCCCCTGTGGCCAAGTACCAATGCAACTGCCAGAAAGCTGGTGGTTTGGGGTTCAAAGGCGTCTCCTTTGGTCTCAAAGCCCCCAACTTTGAGGTTCCTTACTTCAGTTTTCTGGAAAAGGATGAATAAATGTAACTGTAAAAGCCCTTTTAGTTTCACATATCTGTCAATTGTTTTAAATTAATGCTGCTCATTTATGTATGAAAGGTTGTTAGAAAAAGCAAGTTTGTTATAATTTCCCATGCTTTAATATCATTAGCATTGCAACAGTTTCACCCATGTCCATTGCATAATTTGCATATCCCATTTGTGAATACAAGCTGGTAATTAATGATAATTAAATATAGAAACATGGCCCAGTATAGAGTTTAGGTTCGAGGATTAGTGGGTATAGCATGTCACATGGGTTGCTTTAATAGTTAGATTTTATTTGCACATGGTTAACATTCCAAAAAATGTTAATATCTTCATGTCTACTATATCACCATATAAATACTTAGCAGGAAGGTATGAGCTCATGCTAGAGCATTCCTTTGCTGGTGCGAGATAGCCCAAGCATGGAGAAACTAAATTGGAACTACAATATGAAGTTGATATGGTCATGAATATTCATGTGTCTTTATGCAGTTACAAATTAAATGTTCTAAATTTCCAATTGAATGCAACAAAAGCAGAAAAAATATGTTTAATGTGGTAATCAATAGTCTTTTTAAAGGACATGTCAAGCCTAAAGTAAGGTGCTTATCTCACAATGCCCTGTATAGTCTTAAGATAAAGAGGATTTTGCTATTCTGTTTTTCTGTCTTATCTGGGACTTTTTGATTTATTAAGTATGTCTTGCTAATGTAGTGCATATTAAATCTCCTGTAGTTTTTCTTTTTTTTTTATTAATGATTTATGAGGGGGCCCTTTCACATTCTTAGATGCATATTAATCCTCTCATACTTTAGTTGCTTTCTTTAGTACATGTGTTGGTCCCATGATTTGCTTGCGCGTTTGCATCATGTTTCAGTATCAGGTCTGGAATATTATAGATTTCATTTTCTTTGTAGAGTTGAGTACTTGACCTCGACATTTTAACTGCTATCAATTGGTCTCTTTGCTTTTTTCCCCCTTTTCTTTACCTTACTGTTTTATGTCTAGAGATTGATATGACATGTGAGCTTACAATTTGATTATTGATAACACCATTCACTAAATTGAGACATTAAATTTACCCTTCAACTTTACCACATGTGCAAAGAAGAAAATATGGAAAGAATTTCATAAAGGTTTTGTTGTCAGAAGTGTAATTGGCGGGGGGTTAGAGAAAATGGTAAATGAATTAAAATGACTTTTATTTTACTACTTTTACGCTTTGGACTTTTGAGAGGATAAGAAATGCATGGCTAAACATAAATGAGACTATTCTATGTATAAGTTACAACATTCTTTGTTTGTTCAGCTTCAGAGTTTGCAATTATAGTTTCTTGAAATAAGAGACTATTGTCATCAGTTGCTTGCATTCTTAGCCATTAGAGATCAATGTGCCACAATAAGCTGTGGGCCTGAAATGGATTTGAGGTCACATGAGTAGAAGCAGTCTGTCTTTTTCAAGAACATGGAGAGTAAGTTCTCTCTATTCTTACTGAAATAGACGTTGCAAAGTTTCTGGAGATGGTTAGTCCTTTTACATCCTCTGTGATTCATTTTTTTTCTAGCATTTCCATACTTTAATGTTCTATTTGGTTCATGCCGACTAGATTGTGTGACTACTTTGATTATCATTGGCCCAGCTTCCCACCAGGCAAGCCAATGGACTTGAAAGCTACTTCTTTCCCACTCAGTCCCCAGCTTGAAGCATGATTTGCCTGCATATCCGTGCTAATTGATCTTCTGCTACTCTAGCACTTTTAATTATTGAAATATATCTAATCTATGCCTTTGATTAAAGTTGCTTTTGAGATTGTTGAGGTGCCATTGACATTTTAGTATATGAAACATGAGGGTTCAATATTGTTGACTTTGGAAGATTTTGAGCTTGAATAACTTGTGTTATTTGGCAGTGTGTATTATTCTACCAGCTTGTTGGCATTTGATCCTTTTTCCTTGGGATTATGCATATATTACCAGTACTAATGCTCTCACTTTAGGGAGAGTGATAAAAAGAATTTATCTTGCCTGACTAAGTTCTTTTTTCACAAAAGATATTTTACTATCAGTGTATCTTCTTTGGTTGATGTATCAGGTCTTCTTTTTCTGTCATTCATCTCTGAGATGTGAAATTTAACCATGGCAGGAATGCATTGTTTGTGCATCACAAAAACACTGATCTTCTTCTCACCTTTGCTTTAGAGTGAAATATAAGAATCTTGAGGAATATGGTATTCAGATTGATACAGAAGGTGTTGGATGACAAGAAAAGAGAAGGATGTGAAATTAATTTAAGTTTTTTTTTTTTTTTTTGGATTTTACAGAGTATCAAATATATACAGATGATTTCTTATTTGAAAAAATAGCCTTCAACTATTGTTGGAGATTCTGGGAAACTGGCACCTGGGAAAGTGAACTAAGTAGAGGTTCTGATGATCTAGAGAAGCTAGAGCAGTGGACTGCTGCTTTTGGGTTGTTCTCCACTCCTTTCCCGAGAGAACTTGGCTTTTCACAATCCTCATGTTCTTGCCTAATCTCCATGAGCATTGCTGTTACATCTCTCATTGAGGGTCTTTCCTCTGGGGAGGGATTAACACAGAGAAGAGCCACCCCTAGCACCTGAAACATCTCTTGGATCTGTGTACCTGATTGCAGGAGCAGTTGCTGGTCAAGAATTGTAGTGAACTCTTTTCTTTTCTCACGAAGCTCTTTGTTAATCCAAGTGATAATGTGGGCAGCTTCTGGAATTCTGCTGTCAGTTGGTTCCTTTCCAGTCAAGACCTCTAGGAGCACCACCCCATAGCTATAGACATCACTCTTTTCTGTGATCCTCATACTGTATCCATACTCTGCAAATTGTTACAAGGTCAAGTTAGAAAGATCTGGAAATTATTTGGGTGTATGCTAGGAAGGATTTGGGGATGAAAACCTTGAACTCACCAGGTGCAATGTAGCCATAAGAACCTGCAACAATGCTGGAAACTCCTGGACTTTCTGAAGCATCAACAAGCTTTGCAAGGCCAAAATCAGCTAGAAAAGCTTCAAACTGTGGTCCTACCAAGATGTTATTAGCCTTGATGTCACGATGAAGGATTGGGGGAATACAATCATGGTGGAGGTAAGCCAGTCCTTGTGCTGCTCCTACTATGATATTATATCTTGCATCCCAGTCCAAAAAGATCTTCTTCTCGTGAAGCAATCCGCCCAAACTACCATTACTGATGTAATCAAACAAGAGCAATCTGGTTTTCCCATCATTGCAACATCCCAGTAGCCTCACTATGTTCTTATGTCTTATTGATCCAAGAGTCTGAACTTCTGCAGAAAATAGATCTCTTTCTGGGAACTCTCCATGCTTTAATGGCCATAGCTTCTTCACTGCAATAACCTGCTTTGTTGGAGTCTCAACACGATAAACCATGCCTGAACAACCCTTTCCTATGATGTTGGATTCAGATAGACTTGGGACAATATCATTTATAGAGAAGTTGAGCTTTTGAAATGGAGTAAAATGCCACTCCAAAAATTTATTTTCATCATTCTCTTCAAATGTAGCTTCATGGACTCTGATAAACAAAGCTACAGCAACTATTACTATTATCACGGATACTGTCATGATGAGAAAAGTGCGCAGGACAAGGTTTTGGGTTGATTTCTTTCCATGGAGGCACTCACTTCTGTTGATGCAGAGATTTGGATTGCCGGCAAATGCAGAGGGAGGGAGATCATGCATAAACTTAGTATCTGGAAGGATGCCTGAAAAGTTATTGTAGGAAACATCAAGAGAAACAAGATTGTCAAGGCCAGCTAGAACTCTAAGGCTTCCTTCTAGCATGTTGTGAGAGAGATCTAAGTTGGCCAGCTTTGAGAGATTTGAAAAGCTTTCAGGAATAGGCCCTGTTAAGGAATTCCAACTCAAGTTCAGAAGGATATCCAATCCTTGCAAATCACCAATCTCTTCTGGTATAGAACCGATAATCCTGTTTCTGCTGATGTCTAGCAACTGCAGATCCTTGCAGGAGCCCAGGGATGTGGGAATCAAACCAGTGATGTAATTTCCACTGATAATTAGTTTGTTCAAGGATGTGAGCTGGCCCAAATTCTGAGGAATGGTGCCTCCTAAACTGTTTGATGAAAGGTCTAAGACATTAAGGCTGGAAAGAGATTCCAAGGATGGTGGGATTGTACCTTGAAGCTTGTTTCCATGCAAATCTATCATTTCTAGCTGAGTGCACTTGCCAATTTCAGGGGGAATTTCTCCGGTAAATTGATTTTCTGACAATTCAAGAAAGCTCAAATTACGTAGGAGCCCAATTCCTGATGGAATATGGCCTCTGAAGTCGTTTGATCCCAGCCTTAAACGGTTCAAGCTGCTACAATTACCAATATCAGGGGGAATTTCACCTGAGAGTCTGTTTGATATCAACAACAATTGAGTCAAGTTCTTCAAATTGAAGAGAGATCCTGGAACTGACCCTGTAAGGAAATTGTGTGAAAGATCCAATGCTACAAGTTTCTCACAGTTAGCTAGCTCCACTGGTATGCTTCCATGGAGCTGATTTTGCCAGGCAAAGAACAGAGAAAGCTCCTTTAGTTTCCCAATGGAAGGTGGAATCTCACCAGAAAATATGTTGTTATCTAATTCAAGTTGTTTTAGCCTGGAAAAGTTGCTGACATATGATGGTATCTCTCCTGAAAGATTGTTTCCAGACAGAAGAAGCTCCTCCAATGCAACTAGATTCACGAGAGTTGCTGGAAGTTGACCACCTAGAGAATTCAATGAGAAGTCAATGACTATCAAGTCTGAACAGTGCCCTAGAGATGCCGGAATGCTTCCACTTAGCTTGTTCTGCCATAATAACACCCTCTTGAGATTTTTCAGCATGCTCAGCTCTTCCGGAATCCCACCTGAAAGTTGGTTTTCATACAGAAACAAGTTTTCTAATGAAGACAAGTTACCAATTTCAGGTGGGATGTTACCCATGAGGTTGGCTGTGTAGATTGAAAGAGTCTTGAGATTCTTCAGTTCTCCTAAACTTCTAGGAATTTGACCTGAAATTCCGGTATCTGCAAGGCCAAGAAAAGCTAGCTGTTTGCAGTGTAATATCTGCATTGGGATTTCACCAAGAATTCCCAAGTTTCCACCTGCACGAAAGATTTCCAGAGCCCATAACTGTCCTATTTCTGCAGGAATCTTCCCAGAAAGCTGGTTGTCAAAGAGTTCAAGCATCCGGAGCTTTGAACAGTTTCCAATTTCGCTTGGAATTGCACCATGTAGGAAATTTGAGTTCAGTGATAATTCCTGCAGTTGGGTTAACTTTCCCATCTCAGCTGGAATATTCCCTGTTAGAGCATTAAAACTGAGGTCCAGGGTGACCAATGAAGACAAGTTGCCAATTGAAGGTGGAATTTCTCCGGTGAGGTTGCCATTTGAAAGGACAAGAGTGGTGAGATGGTGAAAGGATAAGAGCTGGGTGGGGAAGCTAGTTGGAAGACTAATGGAGGTTATTGTGATTTCACTGACATACCCATCACTTGTGCATCTGATGTAATCCCATCTGCATGGATTTTGGTGGTCTGGACTCCATGAGGAGAACAAAGCAGCAGATGAAGAAGAATTGAAGGTTGAAAGCCATGACAGCAGGGAGAGGCCTTCCTGATTCAAGGCAGAGATGGCTGGAAACATACAGAAACAGATGTTGGAAAGCAAGAGTAAAATAGTAATTGCATTGCCTGACATGATGAGGTTAGAATTCTGATACTGTTCTATCTCATCCAATTATAGCATAGGGACTCAACAATTCACTTTTTTGAGTGTTCCTCTTATCATGGATGGTGGGATCTTAAAATGCCCTTGTTTCAATCCAAAATTACTGAAAACAAAGTAGCAACTTTTTATTTCAATATCCATTTTGCAATATCATAAATAGCATTCATTGGCTATTTTGAAGGTATTGATTAGTCCATGTATTTTAAAAGCAGTGATGGATTAAAAAAACAAAATACTATTGCCTGATTAGATTGCCTGATTGGGATTTTTTAAAGCATTGTCTCCTTCAAATTTTAGCTACTTTATTGTCATTGCCTTGCTCAGTGTGTTGATTGAATTTATATTTTTATATATTTACTAATTCTCTTACCGTGTATTCGATAAAATACTCGATATGGTGAATTAGACTGCATATTAAGACATATATTAAATATCATCTGCACTGTGAGAATGAATTTAAAGGTGGGTTTGTCCATTTCAGAGATGGTTTGACAGTGAGCAGTATATGTCCAGACGCTCCCAAACAAAGATTGCCCATCTGTTTAGGGTTAGGCTGCATGACAAATCCATAGGTGTGACAATGACAAAGCAACACTAACACTAGAGGTGGACACCACAACTTTATTTTCTTTCTGTGATATGATAATAATATGGTAAGGCCTCAATATCAGTTTGCATGCATCTCAGAGAGAAGGGGGTATGAGATTGAAAGCAAGCCAAATAGGCAATGGTGCTGTAAAGGATAGTATGTAGAGGTCCCATTTCCTTTGCATGCATGAACCTTCCCAAAGAACACAGTGTCAAGCCATATTCAGCAATTTTTTGTAAAATCATCTTGCCCATGATTTGTGGCAGAGAAAAAAGGGATCTTGCCTTTTATCAAACTCCCAAGGTTTTTTCTACTTTTGTGTGAGGACACCCTGTAGTTCTGAACCTTTAACTTTTCTCATGACCTAAATGACTAGATCCTAATCATGGTCTTGTTTTTTCCCCCAGATTTTCATATCATCTTTTCTTTATGTTGATTAAATGTGGTGGTAATTATGGATGTTTGAGAAATTCAATTGATGCTTATCAGCAACATGTATGACTACTCTTTGCTAGTTTTCTGAGTGAAACGGTTTTATGTCTCAAGTTTCATAACCTATCTTGTATCTTCCATCTTCCATTGTATTAGTTTCATGTTTAAGAAAAGGATTTGGAAAATTTTCTCACGTGATTATGTTCACTAATTTATTTGTTGAGATTATTAAAATTGTATTAAAAAGTATTAATTTTGTTTAATTGTATTATTAATAATACTTAATAATTAATAAGATATTAATATATAATGCTTAGTAAATTAAAGTAAATTTATAAATTATTATTTTTAAATATTATAACTATTTATTTAAAAAAAAAATTCAAACATCAATTAAATTGGTGGGCACTTGCACCCACATTTTTCTTGTGGAAGAACTTTATTAATGATGAGGCGGGGTCCAACATTTTATTCGTATTACATTTACAGGTACCATATAAAATTCATGTACGTATCAATCAATCCATGAAAAAAATCAAAATTGTACATTTCCTTCGCCTAGGGCAAGGCTTCGTTGATATGAGACGGTGTCCAAATTTACAGTGCCTGTTTAATGCAACAGATTTATTGGATTCTAGTATCAGCTATCCCGTCCAACGACAGACATTCCTTTGGACAGAATTGTAATACAAGATTGCAAGTGAGGTGTAATATCCTTAGCAAGAGACCAGGTAAGTGTAGTTAGCATAATTAGCAGAGTCAAGAAGAAATTTCATTGGGCAAAGAAAAGCAACAAAAACTATAAAAACCTAAATCCCTTTACATGAGACCAAAGGAAGGGGTTATAGGTTATCCTCTATGATATAACCTAACATTCAAATGCGTATAATGAACTCTTTATGTGAGTCCTTTATGTGTTTTGTAGATGAATTATTTTATAATGTAAAACATAATAATTGAACTAAATAATCTTTTTCAGCAATAAAAAATTTGGGGAAAAAAAATTAAATCTAATTGACAATTTGTGGCAATAAATCAAAGCCGGTCCCCCCTTAGAGGACAATAGACAATTGGAAGGAATTTTAGAATTGAGGAAAAAAACAAGCAAATGAAGAGGAGAAATAAAATGACTTTTCATTGGGGTGGGAGCCCGAGAATTGTTCAATTAAAAAAGATGGAGGGAACAAGTCCGATCAACTGCTAACGATACCCAATGGCCCATTTTAGAAATTGGAATAGATTTGGGGAAAATAATGATTACATTATATTTTGTTATCTTAAGGAAAATGAAATCCCTAAAAAAATTAATCATTTAGTTTTGGCTTGTTATATTTAGCTACCAAGGGTAGCCCATACAATTGATATTTAATTTTTAATAGGTAGTAACTATTGTTATATAAAATTTAACTATTTTTATTTCGTTAAATACTTATTAAATTTCAAAAAATACTCATCAAAATTAAAAAAGCTTAGAGGGAATTTGCATTCCTTGAATACCGCCGCCGACATCGCCATTAATGATTTCTTGGTCCATGATTGGCCCGACGACGTAGGCACTAGGACCAAATGTGAATAAGATCGTTTAGCCATGCTTGGTAATTGAAAAAACAAGCACCATGGAAATGCACGTCACTCAACAAGTAATTATCATTTATCAATGTCTTAATGGCTAAATCAAACAGGAAAAAGTTAAAAAGAAGAAAAGAATGAGACAATGAAGTTGGCAATGCGCATGCATGGTGGCAGCCTTTTGTTTTTTGCATTGGCTGAAGTACACCTACGTCAGGCTTCTTATTCTCCATGCTGCAAAGGTTCCCCGCACTTGCAAACTGACATGATAATAATTCAGCAAAAATGGGATCAGAGTTGGAAGCTGTAGTGCATGCAGGCCGTTGGCATGGCATATTTTCAGAGCAAGCACTTAGAATATGATTGGTACTTGCTTTGCTAAGAGTCTCTTCACCTTAAAAACTGAAATGGGATCAAGCACAAGTTTCTTGTACAATTTAGCACTTCTATTGGCACCTGAGCTATCAGCCCATCTGGCTTGAAAGGTGCATCACCAATCTAGACTTGGTTTCTATCCCCCTCTCCTGTCAAGTGGCCCAGGCGGCCCAAGCGGCCCAAGCCTACTTCACAGAAACAAGAGCCCATCATAACATTTGTTCCTTGGTTCCTGCTCCTTCCTTTATTTTTTCTATATATATATATATATACACAAGGAAAAGTGCTTATCAACCTTATCTTTTAAAGATTAAGAAAAAAATTATCTTAAAATTATGTCATTTTAATAAATTTTTATTGAAAAAGACTAAACTACTATATTTTTAAAGCATGCATTAAGATGATTTTTATTTTTTTTTTCTCTAAATTGTTTAAAGGTAAGACGGACAAACACTAATCTCGTATATATAAATAGAGAGAGAAAAGAATTGTGCATTGCAAATTGTTGCACAATTATAATTATTAAATGAAAGTGAACCCTAATATCTAATGATTCTTGTTTTACAGTTTAAATTGTAAATAGGACACTCATATATATATATAGAAAATGTGTTATGCAATATAAACTATATTGAATTGTTTAACACTATACTACTGGATGAGCGTTGAGTCCCTTACTATTGAAAGTTCTTCTCTTATTTAATAATTTCTATTTTATAGTCCAATATAATTTAGATTGTAAAATAATATTCTTTATATAAATATAATATATAAAACTAAATATTCCCATTATACCAGACACACCATATTCTAATTAATTTCTCTTCATTCCTTCTCCATCGAAATATTTTTGCCTTGCCCGGAAGAAAAAGAAAAGTATTCGATTCTTTACCTGATTGACAAGATTGGGATATTGAACATAGACCCATTTTAGTTTTCAAGACATTATAAGATGCGGCTAAGGTTAATTTGCTCCTCCATGCCCTCCCTCTCATGGCTTCTGCTCAATGTTCTGTAGGAACACTAGGACTCTGCCAGGGCCTAAACAGAGTCTCCAAGCCATTGTCCATTCTTCAATCAGGCAATGCAACCCATTTCAAAAACTCTATTCCTAAATTGTCACAAACATCAGGAGGCTCAAAGAAGAACCTTGCAAGTTGTTACAGAAAGAGCAAGGAGGATCAATGGAGGGTTTGGTGCAGTGCCGATGGCGCCAGTCCAACTTCCCCTGAAGGGCCAGTGATGATGCCTAATTCAGTGTTGAACCTCACTCAGGAGTTCTACAATGCCATCAATGCCAAGGACACCAAGAAGCTAGACCAAATTCTTTCAAATGACTGTACATTTCAGGACCTCATATTTTACATTCCCGTTGGTGGAAAACAGGTCTTAATTTCTTCATCTCTCCACAATCTTGACTCTTCTTTCTCAACATGAATCAATTCTTTGATAATGGTACGTTTATCTTTCAGAGTATCATAAACTTCCTGCGCCAAGTTATGGATGCAATGGGACCAAATGTACATTTTGTCATAGATGGTTCTATGAAAGGGGAAAATCTTACTGCAACTATAAATTGGCATCTAGGTACTAAATTCAAGAACTTTACGAGCCTTTTAGTTTTGTTCAGCATTAGGCATATATATCTTAGTTGCCAATTCTTACAGAATGGAAGGCTACGGAGCTGCCGTTTACATATTGTCACAATTCCTTTGAATGCCAACTAGTTGATGGGAAGCTCTTCGTCAGGTACTATATGAATTCCCATATCATCTGCATTTACTAGTTCCTTTCCATCTTTGGATCAAAGTTTCTTTCTTTACAAGGAAAAGAAATACCATTGATTAATGTGTACAGGAAAATCACTGGAGTCCAAGAATTTCCTATAAAACCTGGAGATTTTATACTGGTAAGAAAAACTTCAATAGTTATGGACCCATATGTATCCTGTTCTTATTTAATAAGGGATTAGCTTAATTATTTGTTTGACACTTAAGCTATTGGTGAAATGGTTCTTGACATGATATCAGAATCATTGATCAAGTATATAGTCGGATGCTCAAATCCTTTTTCCTTACAAAAAAATGAATTTCATCACTAGCTCACTACAATTCTTGAACCCTCACCTGACAGCTTAGATTATTCACTGAAATGGTTTTTGACTATAACTCTTTGCATGCAAAACTTGGGAGATTCGTTCTTCATGCATTTGTAAGCACTCAAATTGGATTGATCGATTTTTCTTTTTTTTGTTACATTGTAGAAAGGGTTGAAGGCAACAAGCACTTTTTTTGACAGCTTCCCTGTTGCAGCAGATGGTAATTATAATTAACATTTAGATTTTTCTATACAGACATCAGTACAAACTGAAAATAAGAGGTGAAAACTTAAAGATTGGTAAAATTGCATTATGGGTTGATTTTCAGGGTTGCTGGCAAAACCCAACGGCGGGCTTGTGAAGCTTCTAGACATGCTTGGTGCTTACAAAAAGCGTTAGCATACCCTTAGCAGATCAATTGATTTCCCCTATGGTAATTAAGAAATGATTATATATACTCCTAATTAAGCCTTTTTTTTTTTTAATTAAAGGATTGTGTGAAGCAGCTATTTGCATACATTAAAAAAACTATCTGACTTTTTTTCGTTAAAAGTATAATTCGATCTTTAAATTTATCAAATTTTTTTAAATAAAACTATTTCATATGTAATTTTATTAAGAATATTTCAATAATTTCATATATCAAACTGCATATTAAAAGCGTAATCTAACTTTTAAAATACTAATCTCATTGTATATATAGAAATTTTTTTTTTATAAAATATAGTATCTAATTGCATGTATTACAAATATTTCAACTAAAGTACAATACTAAAATTAAAAAAAAAGAACTTAAAAAAAAATATACACAACTCAGATTAATATTCTCTTTAATTAATTAATAATCTATATATTTATATGTCTGTGCACATAGGAGTTGAAGATATCCCTAAACAATATTTGGGCGTAAAGTTTCATTTTAGATTTTTAATTTTAAAAAGTTCTTGACAATTCATATATGTGGTTGAGATTGTTTGCAATTATTATGACTTAACATAAATTCGACAAAGAGCATGTGATGGAGTCGTTGATATATAATTGATATGGATCACCTTGATGGATTCATTTCAATTTTCCAACTTTCGATCCAAAAATACACACCATATCCTACGCACCCAGTGGACGCAAATCACTCCCACCACCAAAACCATTAATCCACCAAACCGTATTTTTTCCCGAGACGGGCATGTATGCACTCTTGTACGTCACTTGCACATGCTATTGTGCTTCCATCTACGTACATAATCCTCATCCAGTGGTGGAGAATGTTGTCTTCGTCACCCGATGATGGTGGTGGTCGGTTGTTGCATTCCAAATTAGTCCCCCCATATCCCATATCTCTATGGCAAAAAAATTTATTCAAAACATTGGAAAGGAGCTGATCCGCCTTGAAAATTAGGTTTGCTGTACAATTAATTTTTAATTTTGATTTCTGAGCTCAAAAAATTCGACCTTGAATTCAATTGATTAACCCAAACCTAAGTATAAACTTAAAACTTAAACTTAATTTACTATTCATTATAAAGAATTGAAATTGCTTACATATATGAGCCAAGCTCATGATGTAGTTTTGAATGGAAGTCTAAGAATCACAAGCAAGGTATAATTCCATGCATCACTACGTCTAAAAGAAAGGATATTAGTATTAATTAATCCTTCATCGGTACCAATATAAAACATATTTTAATTCGAGCTTTATTAATTAAATACATTTAGAATCAATTAATATGGATCTAAACTAGATTTTGAATGTAAAACTTTAATCTATTTTATTTGCATTAATACTACTAAACCTTAAAATATCTTATTTTCATTAAAAAAAATTATAACTAAATTATTTAGTAGTGATATTTTCACTTTCATGAATTTATAAGAAAGTATTATCTCCTCTCCATTCTTCACTTTAAGAAATGAGAAGAAGATTTAAGAAAGAAACAAACGAAAACAAGTAATATAACTAATTAAATTCTACATCAAGGTTTAGAAAAAATCTCGAAACTTGTAGGATCCAAGGGAGTACTCCAAATATCAGTCACTAAGTTCGTGGAAAAATTCTTTAGCAGATCATGATCGGCGGCAAAGGAATCCAACTCTTGCATTTGCATTACCGGTTGCCACGAAAGGTTCGCCGTCGTCATTGTAGCGGTATCGGGCCACAGAGCATCTTGTACGGCATCATCGTTTAACAAATTCTGCAATCCCAAGACATTCATGTCCGTTTCCCAGAACTCCTGAATACTGGTCTGCTCTTGCGATGGCGTCAGAAGTGATTGCGGTATTTTCTGGATCGAATCGGACGGGCCGCCGTTGGATTTCAAAGAATTCGAATTAGTCTCGTCCGTCGGAGCCGATTCTTGACTGACGAAATCTGGCGAAAAGCTTGTGTTTTGATTATCATTATTCAAGAATTTGGCAAAAACAGCTGCTAAATCAATATCTGATGATCCGTTGGAGGAAGCGAGTTCACTCATTGAGTCGGATTGAGGAGAACTATGGTTCGTATCTAAACTACTAAAGCTCTTCCGATTGCTTTGCAACAGCCTAGCGGACTTGGTGCGGCGGTTCCTGCGACAACCGCCGCCGACAGGGACATTCCTGAGAGAACCGCCTTTGGTCCAGTACCTTCGGCATCCCTTACAGAAGTACCTGGGCTGAGACAGGCTGTAGTTGTTGTAGTAGCAGAACTTGGTGTTGGAGGAGGCGCAGCGAGGGCAGTTGGGGGCAAGCTCGGTGGCGGACTTCCAGTTGCGGTCCACTGAAGGCAGTGGGGGGCAGTGGAGCATGTGGTCGTGGATGGAGTACATTTTTGCAAGGTGGGGAGGTGGAGAGGGAAGGGGATATAAAGAGGGGAGGGGTGGGGTGAGACTTGAGAGTGAATGCATGTGGAATTGTGAGAAACGTGGGCGGTTGGCGAGCCGTTAGGACCAAGAAAGGTGGGACTCCGGGGAGGGAAGGGTTTGTGTGATGGAAAGCGTGAGTAAACTTGAGAAATAAGATTGATAATTGAAGGAACCGTTCCGTCGAATATATATATATATATATATATATATATATTTTTTTTTT